GAACGCTTTGATCCAGCGAAGGATTTTCCCTTGGATCCCGTAATACTGGAGTTTGTGGAGCAGCGGGACGTACGTGACCCTATCAAATACTTTTGAGAAAAATATGGCGTCCGATATGAATTCTTCGTCCTTGGCTTGGGTTAAGCTGTCCACAAACACGAGCATGTTTTTCACGCAAGAACGGTTTGGGAGAAACCCGTGTTGGGCTGAAGATATCAGATTGCTGGAAGTGAGGTGATCTAGGATAGCTCGCTTCAGAACGCGTTCCATCACCTTGCACGGCACGCTAGTGAGGCTTATAGGCCTGTAGCTGCCAGGCGATAGTCGGTCACCAGTTTTGTAGATTGGCGTGAGAATCGCTTCCTTCCAAGCAGAGGGAAGGCGGCCTTTGTCAAGCGACTGGCGAAACACCATGTGTAAATGGTTTGCCAGTGTGGAGGATGTTTCCTTGAGGATCCTTGGATGGACCTCGTCGGGCCCCAACGCGCAGAATGGGTTGATCTTGTGCAAGAGTTGACGAATGTCCTCCACCGTGAAGATCAAGTCGGTTAGAGGCTGTTCGTAGTTTCGCCTTGACAAGAGTGGATGTGACGAGGATGCTGGGGCTGAGTATAGACACGCATAGTGTACTCTGTAAACTTCAGATACCACTGTTGGGTCATTTGTCGGTTCTCCGTTTCTGTCCCTCAAGGAGAACGCGGATGGCTTGTTTCTGCGGCGATGTCTCATGTACTTGACAGTACGTTTGAGCGAGGTCCAGGATGGTGGCTTGTTTACCTATGTTACATTTGCGGATTTGTTGTTTACAGCGGCCGCAATCAAGACTCTTACGAAACTGCGAAATTGTTTTCCGCAGACATTCTACGCCCCTTGGTAACCTCCGCTGGGCCGCCGCGCCGGTTCTTGCTCGTACCTTTTTGACAAGCCAAAACCACTTGACTGGTTGGTTAGACCCATTCCGGAAAATTCAAAGAAGTTTCTTGATCGTCTGTATCCTTTGTATGTTGCCATTTGCGTATACCTCTTCGTGATATATTTGTGTTCTCTCATCTTGCGCCGACGAGCACATATAAACACTTCGGGCTTAGTTTTGATTTCCGGCAAACACACGAAATAACTGAGCACATTTATTGGATATCGTAGAGCTTCCAATATGCTGACGCAAACTCTACAATGGTGAGCAGCTTTCCCGCCGGCTGAACTAACGCAGATGATTCGTTTACATTTTTCACGTGACCATCAAAAGCAGGCAGCATCAAGCGACTACTAATACCCCAGGTTCAAAAGATTTACCAGATCAACAAAAGAATTGACCGTTTAGTACCCGTGGCTTGTTGATCAAATGGGACGGGTCTGTGCTCGTGACCACTGCATTTTCTAACGTATTTAAAATCCAGGGTCCGTTGTTCGCTCCCTTTTCTACATTAATTCTCAATGCTTAATGGCACCATCAGCTGTGTTGATATTCAGTCACAGAACAGACGTTCCAGTATACATGGCGACCAACTCGACTCGGGCCAGGATTTTCGCTTTCCCGCTATACATCTAATAAAACGGGGAGACTGCAGGAATTAGGCAAAGTGAAAGAGTTCGGCAAAGCGCACTTTGCTGACTGTGGACACTCTTTGGTGCTAATTTGACTCCCCACCTCACCACATTTGTGAGCTGTTAAATTGTGTATGCTGGGGGCCCACTCTGATTTATGGCAGTATACACTGCAGGTTGTGGTAAATGGTTTTGCGAATATTTTGCTACCCCAATCTTCTTACTTTGAGGATAGTAAAAAGCTTGAGTCCAAACCAAAGTGGCTTGTGGCTAAATTAGGTTTGAGTATGTGAATATTCTTGGATGTGTATAAAACTGTCAGTGAGTTAATGATTGCAAAACTAGACTTATCCCGTTTTCTGGGTTAGGTTGTTATGCCTCTTATGCCGTATGCTTCAAATCAATGCCTAGATCGACAATTTTCCATTTTTGGATTTTGTAGCACAGTTCTGGTCTTATGTCTTTGCCACATACTGCTGCGCGATTATTTGTTTTGCACCGTTTTTGCGCACCAGTTTACAACTTACGGGAGCATTAGGTACCTTCCTTGTTTACCGTAGGGTTTTACTTGTTAACATCCAAATCGGCGATGGTCAATGACCTTGACATTTCGCTCACTTAAACAAAATGCTACGTGCGACATGTCACGGGAAGGTGCAAATTGATTAGACTAACTTCACATAAAAATGGCAACTTCGAAAACCCTATAGTTTCGGCGAACTCAATTTCGGCGTGTCAATAGCCTGCGGCCGTTGTTGTACCAGCCACACGTAGTCCTAGATATCCGCGGGTGAAACGCTGTAAAAATCCTGAGTGGCTCTGCTCCGAGCTGGGCGACGTGCGTAGCTCTGTTGAGTTGTGTCGTGTTGCTGTGCTGGCATCCTATTTGTAGGACGTTTGCGTGTGTGTGGGTGTCCGCGCATGACGTTTTGCTACCGTATCAGACGGCAGACAGTCGATATCGGATTATTCATCCTTGTGTATCGTGGTTTGTACTATTAGGGAAAAAACGTGCTCTTGGGATGAAGGGCTTGACTGTGAGCTGTGTAGTCAAGTTAGTCACGATTGTAGCGTGATTTGTGAGTGCAAGGAAAAAAGATCTCGTGATCCAGCTAGTAACGGTGACCTGTACAATCATGTATGTGGCAAAAGGGTAGCTACAATCTGGGCGCTTCTACCCTCCCGTAATTAAAGTCACGCGTACCTTGTCTCCTGACCGGAGTCCCACTGGTTTCACTGCCCGACTGAACAGCCTCATTAGCGTGTGCGGAATAACGGCAATATTTCCTATGTGTTTATACACATATGTGAGTTTGTTCCTCTCCACCAATTAAATTCTGAACGTACAATGTGTTCTAGCGTTAAGCGTATTGTGTCAGCTTGCATCCAGCGGCGAGTCTTGCCTTCGAATAGTTCTACACCTACGTTGCTCGCTTGGCATGTGCGTCGACCAAATACCTGGGGAAGAGTTCTCAGCACAATGCGCACTTTCTTGATCTCCGTCTATCAGGATGGTCAGATTCCTGAAATCAACTTCTGAACGCCCGGAACCTACTGCTCCACCAAAAGCTCAACTGGAAAGCCGGCAAGCATCCAGGCCAGTCAATCATTCGGTCAATTCAGTAAAACCTGATGAGTGTTCTCTGCGCCACAGAAGCACGACCGAATGTGATCAGCGTTCAGGCTTTTCACAGAGGCACGATCGATGTTGATGGGTGATCACTAACGCCTATCAGACAGCCTGGATCAATGTCAGAAAGTCCCCTTTAAATAGCGTGGGGCCGTTGTAACTTTTGCACTCGCACTCGCTCTCGCACTCGCACGCACTCACTCGCTTGTTCGGAATATAGCTGTTGTGTTCCCTTCTGTGAGTCTTTTGTCTCCGACACTAGGCACTGGAGCGGGTCAGCAGCAGATACCACGGGCCGACGAAACAGCGGATATAACACCGTCTATGTACTTTATGCATTTGATCTTTTAGCGCCTGATTCGCACATGATAGATAAACTAAATTAATCCTGCCCGTGAACGTCCCGCGCAGCCTTCCAGATCGCCTTTGTTGTCGTCAGCATATACGCACTAAGCTCTTTGCAATCGGGTCGTTTTTCAGTTTGCGCCACCATCGTCCATTCCATTCATAGATTTAATCACTTGCATAGACCACTAGCGGCTGCGGTGCATTAAGAGTTTTGACACGTTGTGGGGTTGGAATATATTGGCATACAATAAGGTGGGCAGTGATCCATTGAACGGATAAAAATAAAAACGTTTTCAGAGACCGTGGAGCGCCGGAAGGATACTTTTAGAAAATATGCACAATATATCGGTTTATCCGGAAACTACCTACCTCCAAGATCGTCGTTTATTGCAATTACTTACCCGTCAGCATTTCAATACATTTTACCTAAAGCCTTGACGTTCGCTCTTTTCAACCTTAACGTCTTTAAGCCAAATAGCTAGCGTAAACATTATTATTCACGTCGCACCTATATGTAAAGCTTAAGCACTGTATTCTGATGGTTCCAAACTCAACGGAATAATTCATTTTGTGAATGGCCCGATGAATCGCCCTTTAAACGTACCTAAAACGCCGCGATTGCGTGTATTTCACACAGTTTTGGCGCGTCATTCGGGGGAACGCTGTTTGGAAAGAAATAGCAAATGAACTTAATATAGACCACCCTACAAGAATCGGGCAAACCAAGCAAGTTCGATGTTTGTCGCTGAACATGCCGTTGATTATTGCAGGCTTTTTTCTCATATCGAGGTGCGCGTCGCGGTTTGGCAAGAATTAGTGGCATCGCAGCAAAACATTGGTAAGGAATTTGCAATTTTCTAGCACGTTTCAGGGTGCGCCCCCCACTATGATGGGATGGGATATAACGACCGCACTGTAGTTTGAAAAGTAAACAAAAATCTTTATTATCCTTTTCATTATATTATTGTTTTCAAGTGGTAAACATCCATAACTTGAAACATGCTTTCCAAATTGGTTTCCTCATCAATTTAGTCGTGTCTTGCTCTCATTTTTGCATAGAAACCACAGTTGGCCCAAAACATTTTACTGCCGTCGTTATGGTCCATTGTACTGATGTTATCTGGTGCCTTGTTGCCATAAGGCACAGCATGTTTAAAACGTGGTACAACAGGCATTAGGTAGGCACGCTTTTCCAGCATGCTTCCTGTCCAAAAATACATGGCGCACACGCAAAGGTGTGAGCGCACCTTGTGTATATTAATGCATGGTGAAAGACAGCCACTGACCGACAAGAACAAAACCGACCCGGGAAACTTGGGCAAAAGCCTCGATCCTATGTAACAATCCCCGAAATCCGTAAATCCGTGATGGTCATTTGCATCGTCGCACAAAGTAGTTGGCCACAAAGGCAAGCGCCGGTTTCAAGGTGTTGTCCGGTTCGCCGTATGAGTCATACATGATACATAAGGTTTTGTACCAAGACCTGCATCATGTAGGCTTAGAATTTTCTTGGTCTTTGATCAGATGGCTGTTGATCTGTTCGCCGAGCTTGCAAACGTTTCATCACCATGCGAGGTAACATCATCAGTGCGCAGTTGGGTGGGCACTTCTTCATTGCCTGCGTGTATTTATATAGCAGTCAAAAGCTATCTGTTATATTCTGACGTGATTGGCTGCTTGAAGTGTAACGAATTTGGTGAATCTATTGGTTCCTTTGTGATCTCTGTTGCGTTGTGGTCTGTGTTCCTTCGTGCTGATTGGTTATCCCAACGGCTTCTAATTTTGCTAAATTGTTCTCTCTGGCCTTGGTTCGCATTGCGTTGTGGTCTGCCGTTCTCGAGTTTGATTGGTTGTTTGCACCGTCCTATTTCCTCCACCGTGTCGGTTAGTGTCCCGGCGTCCGCCGGTTGCTTTGGTGCCTTGATTGGGCGCTTCCTTTAATCCACTTGACGTGTCCGTTTGAATGACGCTTTCCTGCTTCTCTCATGAGTTTCGCGTCTGGTCGCTTTTGCAGCTCTAAGCTCCGTGGTTCTGGCGTTCTCTCGCTCTTAGTGGCTGGTAAATGGGATCAATTTCGATGGGTTTGTTGATGGTTTCTTCGGTGAAGTACCACGCTTCCATAAATTCGCGTTCTCGTTTTGTTCTTGTTTGAGCCAGTATGCGAACGCAGCTCCAGTCGAACTCGTGTCCTTCTTGATCTTTGTGTGCGGAGATGAGGGAGAATTGATCACGTCTTTTAGTGGCGAGTTTGTGTTCATGTATTCTGGTAGAGAGCTTCCTTCCTGTTTGTCCTGCATACCGTTTGTCGCAGTCTTTGCATTGGATCCTGTATATGGCATTGTTCTTCGCCATTGGATCTAATTTCGCCTTTGGTCTTGATAGTATCCTCCGCAGAGTATTCGCAGGCTTGTAGGCGACCATTTTATTGTGCAATCGTTGGAGCCTTGCTGTCATTTCACCGGTGTTCTTCATGTATGGGAGTGTGACTTGTTTGCATGCATTTTATCCTGTTGCATCGATCATATTCGACTTCCTGAGTGTTCTCTAGATGAAATTCCTTGGGTATCCATTTTTCTGAAGCAATTTGTAAAGGCTTTTTTGATCTTGGATTCTGTTGTGCTGCAGTGTGTCCCGATCCGCTTGAAAAGTGTTCGAATACAGCTTTATTCGTAGTAGCTGAGAATTTGGTCTGTATGTGTCGAATTTCTGTAGATCTCTTTTGTAGTTGTCCGTTCGGCAGTCTTGAAATGAGGATGTCCAGGAACGCCAGTTTTCCGTTGTTATCTTCCTCGGTTGTGAATTTGATGTCGTTGAAAACGTTTAACAATTGGCTCACTCGTTGCAGTGCGCTTCTTTTGATGATCACAAATATATCGTCCACGTAAGCGATCCATATTTTGGGATTTATCTCGGGCAACACAATTTGTTCCAATTTTTGCATTGTGACTTCTGCAATAAATCCTGAAATTGGCGATTCCATTGGTGTCCCTCGTAGTTGTTCATAATATTCTCCGTTGAACTCAAAATGTTTGATCAGGTATAAGTAGAGTAATCTGCAGGGGTGTTCTTTCTCCAATGATTCAGTTGGCATGCCGTTGTTGTCCAACAATTCGGCCAAAGTTGTCTTAGCCGAATCCAGGTCCACAGACGTGAATAGTGAGCTCACATTAAATGAAACCATTATTTTGTCCTGATCGATGTTTATGTGTTTTAGTTTCTCCAAAAATTGTCCCGCATTTTTGACTGAGTGTTGAGACCGACTGATAAGATGCATCAACCTTTTCCATAGTTCATTCGAAAGATTTTAGTTCGCTGTTCCAGGAAGTGATACCATTGGCCGGAGAGGTATTGGTTCTTTGTGTAACTTCTGGAGTCCGTAGAGGCGGGGTGTGGCCGAATCACGAGCTCTCATTCTCCAATATTCCTCTTTTGTACTCTTGTGGAGATCTTGAAGTTGCTTGAAATTCTTATTGGTTTGGTTTGCTAGCTGCTTGCTTTGGTCGCTTTCTAGGTGGCGGTACTTGGTTGTATCTTTAAGTAGTGCCTTTGCTTTATTGGCGTAGTCCGGTTTGTCCATAATCACCGTTAGGTGTCCCTTGTCTGCCGGCAGAATCACGATGTTTTCATCCTTCTTCAACTTGTTCATTGCTTCCTTTTCTTTGCCGGAAAGCACGTTTAGTGGTTTGTGGCGTGTGATGCCTGAGACGACAGTCTCACGAAGATGCTGCTGCGCGTTTTCCTCGAGTCCAGTAGATTTCATTGCCGCTTCTAGGTGTGCTAAATACTCCAGGTTTGACGCGTCTTTGAAGGTGGAGTTAAGCCCTTTGACGAGAACGTTTTCTTCAACTTCCGTCAGCTGCCTTCTGGATAGATTCCTCATCCGGGCTTCATTGTGATTACTTTTGCACTCCTGGTTCCTAGTTAGCCTTGAGAATTTGCCATCTAAATGAGCCTTCTTGTTTTTAAGCAGTGGGTGAAACTCTTCGCTCTGCCGCCATGCTTAGCTGCTCCATGAGATCTGGTCCTATTGTTCTCCCAAGTTCGTAGGCTATTCTCTCATATTTCCTAATGTGGTTGTGAGCGTCTGTAATCATGAGTCTGACCATTCGTCGGCCATTCTGTCTAGCTATTATCCAAGCTTGTGAATGATTCATCGGTGGTCGGTAGGTTACATTACGTGGAAGGACGTGTTTCCGCAGGCATTCATGGAGGAAATAGAGCTGTTGTCGTGTGGAGGCTTGCCGGCAGGCGAAAGTCTCCAACCGACGAGTTGTTTAGAGCGTGAAACGCCCGAATTAGTTTGTAATGTGGTGAAATATTGGTAGCTCGGGTGAGTTTATTGGTTGTTGACCAGGTGGCTGTTGGTCTGTTGGCCGAGCTTCGCAATTGGCTTGCAAACGTTTCGTTGCCATACGAGGAGACATCATCAATGCGCAGTTAGGTTGGTGGAATTTTCTTACACACTGTGAAGCCTTTATGAGTTAGGAATTCCGGTTTGCGTACATTTGATATTATGTGTACAGCGTGCTGACGTGTTTTAATGAAGTTTTGGTGCAGGCATACATTCACGCCTTCTGCGCAATGTTATCGTACCGTTCATGGAACCGCGGGAGATACCTATATGACCTAAGTGCAGGCAAATAATGAGTCAGGCGAAGAAGTCAGTGAGCCTTCCGGACGGTCAGCATCAAGATTAATTTTCATAGAAACGTGACCGGCATGGCTCACCGTAAAGCAAACATCGCGCTTCCGGCTGCGTCTGCATAAACAAAAGGGCCACAACCATGTAAACTTCTCCAAGATGCCAGTGTGTGCACTCGTCATGGACTTGTGTTCTTAGACATCATTCAACCATGAAACGCGCAAGCTTAGAGGCTCAGTTGGCATGTCGCGGCTGGTAGCTTCCAACAAAAACTAGCGACGTCAGAGTTCTCACTGTGCAAGAGATCTTTTCTTTCCTTGTAAACGTTTCATGTGCGTCTTATGAACAGCTTGCGCCGGTTGCGTTCCGGCTGTTCCATAATACCGAGACAATAATTTGTAGGACCTACAGATCAAATTGTGCTCTGCATGATTAAATCAATCAACGCGTCCGAAAAGCATGCTGACAATGGAGAAATTAAACGCCACTGGCTATTTGCACATCCGAATTTTTTCCCCGGAACTACGGGGTTTTCGAAGTTGTGACTTCAACGGGGATTCAGTCTAATCCATTTTCACCCTCCGGTGACATGTTGTTCGCAGCGTTTTAAGTGTGCGAAACTTCGAGGTCACGGACCATCACCGATTCGCACTTTCTTACCGGTTTGCGCGACATAGAACACGAAATAGCATTTTAGCGTATTTTGGCGTTCTTCTGTGTTCCCTAGGAATAAAAAACACCCAAAGAATATCTAATGCAAATTTCACCCCAGAAAATCGGTGGTTGACGTTTGTTTGCGCTATACTCCTCAGATTTAACAAATGCGATAATAACTGCAGAATATATTTTGTTCGGCAAGCCTGATCACAGCACCTTTCCCGCGGAATAGCTTTCATTAAGTACAACGTTAGACAACAGGATGAAATGTGCAGTAGGGACTCGTGGGTCATCTCTTTTGATGATCCCCTTTCCCATACATGCATAACTGGCCCCGTGAATAGGACGGCGTCACTAGATAGCTGAAGGTATCATTTCTATTATGAATATGACGCTTCATGGGTGGTGGCCGCCATAAAGCTGTCGCCATGATAACGGTAGCCGTTGTCATTCACCCCGACTACTTATCGTAAATGTTGTATCCGTGTCTATGTGCGACACTGATTATCGGGCCTCACCTATGCACGGCAGCCTAATCCAACGATCAGCGACAGCCCCTTATACTCATAGTTCTACGCGTTGTCACTCATGTCGAATACTTATTGTGAATGCTAGGCCCGCGTCCATGCGCGACGCTGATTATGAAACCTTACCTAGGCGCAGTACATAATCAAATGACCAAAGTCGGCCCTTCGTATCCATAACCATACGGGATACCGCTATCTCGGCTACCTATAGTAAACACCAGGCCAGTATTATTGCAGGCCGGCAAAAATGAAGCCTCAATTATAAGGCCTAAAGTGATAGCCTGTCATGCCCATTTCTGTACTCGATGTCGCCCAGCCTAGCCACTTATCGTACCTGCTAGTTCCGTGTCCACGTGCGGCGTTGATTAACCATAACTTAATCTAACCTCATCTGTCGTACGCGTAACTCTATGGTTTGTCGCCTATCTACGCTATTTATGATAAACAACGGGCCGGTATTTTTGCGATCCGATGAATACGAGGTTCAAACTATGTACGCATACCTAACCTAACGG